CGAAAAAGTGAAGTAATTCTTGAGCTATGAATTTTGGCGCACTAGGGGGTATGCTGCCATTAAACTAAACTCACTCACAATTGTTCTCATAAGTTCCTCACAAGAAAGTTAGAGTAGCTAGAAACCATGTAGGAGGGGGGTAAAGAGGAGGACGAGAGGGAAAGTCCTCAAGGAATCCCCAACCAGGGAAACCCTTGTAGCACATCAAATCCCCTCCCGCTTTTACTTTTGTCACTTTCCTAACCCATGCCATCCACCTTACCCAACTTGGCCACACTTGCCAACCTGGTTTGGTTTCTCCCAACCACTTGGCAGCATCTACAGTGATGGGGACGAATTTCCCAACCCCCAAAAGTCTATACCCTTTATGAATTCAACCCAACAACTTCCCATAGTTACCACAACCAAATAACAAAAGCTTACGAACTTCAAATGTTCGTAACTTTCTTGCTCGTGCTCCTATTGAAGCGATACTTGGCTCGACGGAAAGCTCTTGAGCAGAGGAGTCGCTTCAGATATCTGCTCAAGCCAAATACAATTCACACACACACACACACACACACACACACACACACACACACACACACACTCAGAAAAACCAAACCACATCAAACACAAATTCTTGCACATGCTCACACCACGCATGGAACGCACGGACATATGATGGGAGGCATACAGATGCATATGATTGCATCACACAACAAATATGCTTCGGGTGTTCGGGTGCATGTACATGGCGCTCGTGCCTAAGTATCTTCGGCACAACAAGCTCCGTGCCGAGACGATATGGGCGGTGCACTTGGGCATGGCTCAAAACAGCAAGGGTTGGCTTTTTTGGGACCCATTCACCAAGAAGTTCTTGGTAAGCAGGGACTGCAAGTTCATGGAGAATCTCATGTACAAGGATTGGAAGGCGGAGAAAGAGGCGAAGATAGGTGTGCGGTTTGGGGAGGTGAAGAGTTTTGAATTGGAGCGTGTGGAGCTACCTTTGGAGCTGAGCAGCGGCAGCACTACCACAAGGCAGTCTTCCGTTGGGAATGGAGAAGGGGAGGCCAAGGATGCAGAGGAAGAAGAGGAGGAAGTGCAGCAAGTGAGCGAGCATGCACCAAAACTTCCTTCACACGCTACGAGTGCTCCACGGATCCGAGCCACACCGCAGCAACGCCAAGCCCTTCAAGTCCCTGCAGCTGAGGAGGAAGGAAGGGGCAAGAGGAGAGTCCAAGCCCCTAATAGGCTGACCTTTGATGCACCATGAAAGCAAGGCAAGACAGCCTTGGTCGAAGCAGCAATGATGGTCGAAGATGACGAGGAGAGTGACTACGAGGAGTGTGCGTTCGTGTTCTTCTCTCCCGTGGGGATGCCGGGAGAACCAGCAACTCTCAAGGAGGTCTTGGAGAGTAGTGATGCTGAGGAGTGGGAAAAGGCAATGGAGAGTGAGTTGAAGAGCATTGAGGAGAATGACACATTTGAATTGGTGGAGCTACCGGAGGGGCGTAAGGATATTATGTCCAAGTGGCTTTTCAAGATCAAGTCCGACGCCGACGGCATGATCGAGCGCTACAAGTCTAGGCTTGTGGCCAAAGGGTACCAGTAGAAGGAGAAGGTGGACTTCAATGAGCTGTTTGCTCCTGTGGTGAAGCCGACAACGCTGCGGACCCTACTCGCGGGAGCCGCGATCAAAGGATGGGTGGTGAAGCAGATGGATATTACAACGGCATATCTTAACGGTATCCTTGAGGAGGAGATATTTATGGCGCAGCCAGAGGGGTTTGATGATGGTAGCGGCAGAGTGTGGAAGCTGAAGAAGGCCCTCTATGGGCTGAAGCAGGCCCCTAGGCAATGGTACATGAAGCTGCGTGAAGTGTTGGAGGAGATCCGCTTCACACCCTCTACGGCCAACCACTCCTTGTTCATGCTTGGCGAGGGGGAGCAGAGGAGCTTCATGGTCGTGTACGTGGATGACATCCTCATCTTCTCACCCTCTTCTGACCTTGTGAAGGAGGTGATGCTGAAGCTTCAGGATAAATTCAAGTAGCAAGGCCCTTGGTGATGTGAAATTCTACCTCGGGCTTCACATCGAACGCGATGTGGAGAAGCGGTGCATGCGGGTGCACCAACGCAAGTACCTGGAGGCGTTGGCTGCCAAATTTGGGCTGAGTGAAGGCCATGTAGCTACTCCCCTTCCCTCTGGGTTCAAGTGTGTGAGGGGACCAGAGGAGGAGAGCATTTGTGAAGAGGAGAGGCGTCGTTTTCACTCGTTGGTGGGCAGCCTCATGTATGTGGCGGTAAACACTCGACCGGACGTTGCCTTCACTACCGGGTAGCTCGCTAGGGTTGTGCAATGCCCTAATGAGGAGTACGTAGCAGCTGGAATGAGGGTGGCCAAGTACCTTGGCCAGACACTGACAGTTGGGCTGCAATACTCGGCGGCGGCGCAAAGGCGCCAAAAGGGCGCGGATGGTGTTGAACCCGGGCGTTTGTTCCTCACTGCCTACTTGGATGCTTTATATGCATCAGAACCAGAGGACATGACAAGTGTTGGAGGGTTCATTTGCTGTGTTTGTGGAGGCCCAAATGCTTGGGAGAGCAAGAAGCAAGTGGACCAAGCTTTGGGCTCGGTGAAGTCCGAGTACATGGCACTCTTCCGTGCGGTACGGGAGATTTTATGGCAGCGGCGTTTGTTGGCTGAATTGGGGGAGGAGCAGCAAGGACCTACCCCTCTCTACTTTGACAGCCAAGGTGTCATTGCTCTTGCTAAGAATCCTGTGTTGCATGGCCTTACGAAGCACATGAGGGTGAAGTGGCATTGGACGAGGAGCATGGTGGCCGCGGGTGAAGTTGAGTTGCACTACGTGAAGACGGCGGGACAGCCGGCAGACATGATGACCAAGACGCTGGTGGATCAGTAGCATTGGAAGTGTTTCAAGGTGGCTGGAATGGCCCTGAACTAAGAGGAGCAGATCCTAAGGCCAACAATCCTAGGGTGAGTTTGTTGGTGCAACCTACGGTTTGCACTTGGCTTGTTGTCCGTGTGCGTGCATGTGTATGTGCATGGAATGAAATGAGGGCATGATATGATTTATGTATTTCATGCTTATAATAGTGTGTGCATGAAAATTCATGATGTCGAGTGTGTGTGTGTGTCGGGTCAATAGCGAGTTATCGCTAGTCGTGTTTCACACGGTCATTTGTGTCTCACACACGGTTTCTATTTTGTCGTGTGTCTCGTGCGCGGTTTCTATTTTGTCGTGTGTCGAACATTGCCATGTCGCAGGTGTGTGCAGCAGACCTATCAAGAACTCAAGGATGAGTTTGTGATGAAGAACCCGAGCCTTGGTGTCCAGCCTCAAGTGATTTCGAAGCTCACCAAAAGGGTACACTTCAGGATGTTGAAGATAGTTACATTACAATGTGTAGTGTAACATTTCTGTTGGTGTAGACCCTTGTTGAGGGTAGTTTCGAGACCCTTCTTGGTTGGGGATAGTGTAACACTATTCCAATCTCGGCTCTTGGGGTTTGTAGGAGCTGGGAGTCATTCCCAACTCGTAACTCTTCCTAATCTTGCGTTCTAATACTATAGTGGCTGCCATAGTGCCATTCATTCAAACCAACGCTGTGTCGTCAATACATGATGAAATCGTGCGATCTAAACTGCCTATTGTAGGCGACACTAAGACGCTCCAGGTCCAATTTGAATCGGGTAATTTGAAGTTGTGACCAGAACGCTATGAACGTTTAAAGCCGCTGTGTAGAAATCTGACAGTGCACTCTATCTTTCGTTTTAGGCACATTGGAGCCTACTGTGACTATAACAGCGGGCAGGGCAGGGCGCGCGGCGAAGCAGCGCACGGGCAGGGCAGGGCGCGTAGCGGCGCAGCGTGCGGGCAGGGCAAGGCGCGCGGCGGCGCGGCGCGCGGGCAGGGCAGGGCGCTAGGCGGCAGACGGCGCGGAGGCAGGGCAAGGCGCGCTGCAGCGGGCGGCGCGTGGGCAAGGCAGGTCGCGCAGCTGCGGGCAGCGCGCGGGCAAAGCAAGGCGCACGACGGCGGGCAACGCGCGGGCAGGGGGGACGCACCGGCGCGGCGCGTGGGCAGGGCAGGGCGCTCTGCAGTAAGCGGCGACGCGGCGCGCAGGCAGGGCAGGGCGCGCGGGTCAAACAGGGCGCGCTGCAGCGGGCGGCGTGCGGGCAGGGCAGGGCGTGCACAGGCAGCGCGACGCAGGGCAGGGCAGGGCAGGGCAGGGTGGTGCGATCACGGTAGCGCGACGGGTGAGGTAGCGCTACTCGGTGGGCCATAAGGAAACGGTCCTAGGCTAGGTCCTGCTCTTAAACCATGTCAGAAGTACGAACGAAGAATCAATTCACTAACAGCATGATGGTTACAAGTGCTAACCCTAATTGGGTTGTACCCCATATGGGCTACCCCACTATAGCTTACACAATAAGCAGCATATAAGTTTGACGCAGGAGAGGCGGAAGTTGCGCGAGCAGCTGGAGTAGGTGAGCAGCTGGAGCAGCGAGATGGCAGAACGAAGAGAGAAAATTTTAGAAATCCTAACTAGAGATTGGTAAGAAATTACATGTAGTTTGACAAACACCGTCAATCGTAGTGGAGTCGTGTGTCGAGTCTTCATGATGAATTTTAGTGATGTTTATCGAGTCTAGTAAAACATGTACAGTTTATCATACTGCATGACAATGATGCATTTTTTCCAATGCTTATATTTCACTTCAAACACGAAGTTGCTGTGCAACCCAAACACGATCTCGTCGTTTTTTTTTCCCCCTTATTTTCAACTCGCGAACCCCCTTATCCATCCCCCGTGGCCTCCCCACCACGTCGCGCGCCTCGTTGCCTAGTCGCATGCCACTTCCCCTCGTCGCGCGCGCCCTGCTCTGCCTCGTCGTGCGCCTTGCCCTTCCGTAGTGCGTCCTACACTCCCGTCGCGCGCAAGCGCCCTGCCTCTGCCGTCGCGCACGCGTCCTGTCTGCCAACGTCGCACGCATGCACGCACGCCTTGTCCGCCGCCGTTGCGCGCGCACGACTTGCCCGCCGCCATCACTCTCCCCACCGCCCATTTTCTCCTTTCCGCGGCTGCCCTCCCTTCCCCCCCTTTCGCCGGTGTTCTCCCCTCCCTTTGTGGTGCGCCGAACCCCTCCTCCCCCCCCCCCCCCCCCCTTCTCCTGCCTCTTTTGCACCACCTCCTCCCTCTCCGCTCATCACATCCGCCTCTTACACTCCTTCCCCTCTCTTCTCTCCTCCCTATCCTTCGTGCTCCTCCTCCCTTCCTCCACCTCCTTCCTCTCCGCCTCTCCTGCAACTAGCTGTTGTCGTTGCCTGTCACTTGGTGATCGTGCTCCTATCTCCTCACATTCCACTCCTTCACCCTCCTCCTCCTCTTACCTCTCTCCCTCCACTTCCCCTCACCTTCTCACCTCTTCCTCCACCTCTCTTCTCTCCCTATCTGCTACAGCTGGTATCCGATTGTGTATTGTCGACAACCTTTCCTCCTCCTCTCATTTCTCCCCTCAGCGACGCAGTATCAAACTACTCCACTGTTGTCCCTCCTCCTCTTGTTTCTCCCCACAGCAGCGCAGCAGCAGAGTACTCCACCGTTGTCCCTCCTCCTCTTGTTTCTCCCCTCAGCGGCGCAGCACCATACTACAACACCGTTGTCCCTCCTCCTCTTGTTTCTCCCCTCAGCAGCGCACCAGCAGACTACTCCACCGTTGTCCCTCCTCCTCTTGTTTCTCCCCTCAGCGGCGCAGCAGCAGACTACAATACCGTTGTCCCTCCTCTTGCTTCTCCCCTCAGCGGCGCAGCAGCAGACTACTCCACCGTTGTTCCTCCTCTTTTTTCTCCCCGCATCCTCTTTCCACCGTACCTCCTCTCCTACCCTTGCCTTCCCTACTCTCTGCTCCCTTCACTGCCCCTTCCTCCCTTTGCACCTGTCCTACTTGCCGCTGGATCTCTCCTCTTCTCTGCCCCTCTGCCTGGATTCCACTGTCCCATCAGCATCGCCGCTCTTTTGCCGCATTAACCTCTGGTATTGGTTCTCTGGTCTCTGTCTTCAGTATGACCATGCCATCTCCGGATAGCATCCTTGGTGCTTCTCCTCTTATGGACTTTCGCTTTGACGTTTCACTTTTTCCACCCTTTCAAAGAACTGCTTCTCACTCTCCCAGCCCTATGGCTGCCGCTCTCTCACTTCCTCGCACCTTGGATTTTGTCCTTGACAGTGCTGCTACTGACTCTGACTTTCGTGATGCTGGTGTCCTTCGCAATTTTTCTCGTCCCCTCACTATTGATGGGGCTGGGGAGACCACGTCCATGATCTGTACTGGCACTTCCTCTCCTCCCTGTCTTGCCTCTCCCTCTGGTGCTATTACTGGCATTTATTTTCCCTCTTGCCATCATAACCTCCTATCCCTCCTTGCCCTCCAACGCCTGGGAGTGCGAGCACTCTTCCTTGCAGGTGAACTATATTGTGATCTTCATTACCACGACCAGCACCTTGCTCGTTTCACCATTTCTCTTACTACTCACCTCTACATCCTTCGTGTTCCCATCCCCTCATCTGTCCATCACACTTCCTCTTCTTCTTCCCCTCCCGTCTCCTCTTGCGACTGTCGCTCTCTCACCCAACCTACCCTTCTTCATCATTGCCTTGGCCACCCCAACTTCCCTCTCCTTCGTAGCATGGTCACTTCGAAGCTGCTTCATGATCTCCCTCCCTCTCTCCCACCCCTTCCACCCTCTCCCGCTCCTCGGTGCACCCCTTGTGTTTAAGCCAAGCTCTCTCAATCTCCTCATCCTTCTTCCCCTTGTGCCTTCCCCAAACCCCTTGATCTTGTGCATATGGACTTCTGGGGTCCTTCTCCCATTGCCTCCCGTCATCGTTATCGTTACTTTCTCCTTGTTGATGACCACTCTCGCTTTGCCACTGCCTATCCCCTTCGTGCCAAATCTGACCCCCCCTCCCTCATCATTCGCTGGGCTGAACAGGCGCGCCTTCGCTTTGGCCGTCCTGTCGCACGCTTCCACTCTGATGGTGGTGGCGAGTTCATTAACGGCTCTCTGGCATTCGCCAAACCTCCACCCTTTCACATTCTCCCGAACAGAATGGTGTTGCTGAGCTTCATATTCGCACTCTTATGAAGATCACCTGCTGTCTTCTTACTCATGCCTCTCCTCCACACTCTCTTTGGAGCTACGCTCTTGTTCATGCCACTCTTCTTTCCAACCTTCGCCCCCATCCCCTTTGCCCTTCCTTTACACCCTTCCAGCTCTGGACTGGCCGCCAGCCCTCTGCCCGCCATCTTCGGGTGTGGGGCTGTGTCGCTTATGTCCTTATCAATCCCACCGATCGAGCACATCAGGGTGGTAAGCTCGCTCCCAGGACGCAGCTCTGTGCGTTCATTGGCATCAACGCTTGTGAAAGAGAGAACGAGAATGGAATGACTATAAAAGAAGTGAGTACAAATAGGAAACCCTAATTGGGTTGTACCCCCTATGGGATACCCCACTATAGCCTACACAATAGTATAAGCTATATAGTTCTGACACACCCCCATAGGCAAAGTGGGGGAGAACAAGGGGTCACAAGACCAGTCAAGCAAAGCAAAGCAAAGCTCAGGGTGGATCACAAAGTCACCACACATTCCGAGCACAAGTTCAAGGCCACATGGCCAGTTCACATGCAAGATCATATATAGAGATATACAAGAGTCAAGTAAGCTAGAGCAAGAGTATATATAGGCGAAGGTACAAGCAAGGTCAAGAGGAGAGCAAGTGAGGCAAGACAGGCACAAGACCCAACTGCGTGCAACAACGCTGATGATCACAAGGCGCAAGTGCCTTGGTGAAGACATCAGCAGTGTTGGCCTCAGAGGCCACGTACGCAAGTCGCAACTGTCCACGCTGCTGTAGCTCACGAGCAAGAAAGTAGCGGAGAGCAATGTGCTTCGTTCTGTGCTCCAGTCTCTGCTCTCGACACAAGGCCAGCATGCCCTTGTTGTCTACGTACAGGACTGGAGGAGAACGAGGCTGCTCTCCAAGGTCGGTCAACAGGTAGGTGAGCCAGCGTAACTCCTGTGCAGCCATAGCCCCGGCTTAGATCTCAGCCTCACAACTGGAGCCGAGAACAGAAGACGAGCGGGTAGCCCGCCACGAAACAGAGCCGGAACCAAGGCTGAAGGTGTAACCCTGTGACGACCGCTGCGTAGCCTGGTCGTCAGCCCAAGAAGCGTCCGCGTGCCCAGTGAGGACCACTGGACTGCGCCCTCCAAGCACTAGCCCCATGCCCGACGTACTGCACAAGTAGCGCAACACCCTCTTCGCTGCAGCCATGTGCTCTGGTCGGTGTCTCCCAGGAGCAACATAGCGTGCGAGAATGCTAAGAGGGTATGCAAGGTCAGGTCGTGTGCAGGTCATCAGGTACATGAGGCAGCCAACAAGCTCTGCATACGGGCCACTCGACTCTACGGACTCATCCGAAGGCAGAGCTGAGAGCGAGTGGCGAGTAGGCAGAGGAGTGGCCTGAGGCGAGGAGTACGTGAAGCCGAAGCGCTGAAGGACCTGCTGCACCATGTGTGACTGAGTCAGGGTAATGGTGCGGCGTGCTCTGTCCCGGGTGATCTGCAAGCCAAGATAGCTGCGCAGTTCACCCAGGTCAGTGCACGTGTGTCTCTTCTGCAGCTCGGACTTCACGTAGGCGAGTCCAGCAGTGTCAGCTGTGGCAAAGACCAAGTCGTCGACGTACACGAGGATGTAGAACGGCGGCAGAGAGGTGTCGGTGCGCAGAAACAGCGACGGGTCGGCAGTAGAAGGAGCAAACCCAAGTGCCGCGAGCGTAGTCCTCAGTGTGTCGTGCCACTCACGTGGCGCCTGGCGGAGACCGTAGACTGGACGCCGGAGACTCCACTGGGTACCAGGAGGGAAAGACCCAGTGAAGCAAGGTGGGCGACGCAGCCAGATCTCCTCGTGCAGGCTGCCCTGCAAGAAAGCTGTGCTGAAGTCGAGAGAGTGCAGCTCGTAGTCACGGTGAGCAGCAACGTGCAGCAGGACCCGAAGAGTGGTCATCTTCGGGGTGGGGGAGAAGGTCTGAAAGTAGTCAACCCCCTGCCGCTGACTGAAGCCACGAGCCACGTAACGCGCCTTGAAGACAGGCGGAGAACCCGGCGGCCGCTTCACCCTGAAAATCCACATGCCACTGACGATGTTCGCCCCAGGGGGGGGAACAGCGTCAACGTAGGTGCCTGTGGACTTCCAGGAAGCCATCTCTGCATCCATAGCTGCCTGCCACTGAGAGGAGTAGGGACCCTCTATCGCCTCCGCGTAAGAGCGCGGAGTCGGGATGTCTGGTGCATCCGGGTCTCCCTCAGGGGCTAGCAGTACAGACGCGAGACGAGGTGAAGCGGCGGCCAGACACTGGAACTCCTCCTGCCTGTCCTCAAGGACGTCCGTGCCAAGGGCACACTCACCCCCGACGGACGGAGGACAGGCGGACTCAGACTCAGTGACAAGACGGGCAGCGTAGTCTAGACGACAGCGCGCAGCAAAGTCGACAAGCTCAGTGACAAGGGCAGACGCAGCAGACGACTCGAAGGAAGGGTCAGTGACAGCTGTAGCAAGGAGACGCGTGACAGTAGGACTGGCAGCACGAAGGGAGTCCGACTCCGGGTCGGCAAGAGCAGGAAGAGAGGAAGCAGGAGGAGAAGGCAAAGGGGCACGCAGAGGAGCAGTGGACGGACGCAGTGACATCCGGTGCGTGCCAGGGACAGGAGGAGGACGCTGACGCGACCCGCGACCACTAGCGCGCTCAGTACGAACAGGCGACACAGGACGAGACGCAGGCTCACGACGCTCAGTAAGACCTCCAGTCGGACCAGTGTAGGGAGACGGAGCAGGCAAAGGGGAGGCAGGCTGTAGCTGTGGCTGTGACCGGACAGGCTGCGGACCCTCTAAGGGAGGAGGAGGAGGAGGCGGAAGACCAAGAACCTGCTGCAGGAGCGGAACGAAGTAAGGTCGGGGCCGCGCGGCGACACCAGAAACAGCAGGAACAGCACCAGCAGCCCCGGCAGGTGTACCCACTCCAGCAGCACCTCCAGCAGCACCACCAGAAGCTCCAGAACCTCCAGCAGCAGCACCAGGAGCACTGTCAGTCGGACCGCCAACGGCAGGCTCAGCGCCAACACCCTCAGTAGCACCAGCTCCAGGAGAACTCTCAGACCCAGCAGCTCCAGCACCCACAGTACGAGCACCGGCGGGACGCGAGGCAGCAGTACCCTCTGCAGCCGAAGAACCACCAGCACCAGCAGCACACCTCCAGCGCCTGGCAAACCACTCACGCAGCTCCTGCGGGGAGAGTGGCTCCCGGCGAGACGAAGCACCCCCAGGCACAGCACCCCCAGGCTCAGCACCCCCAGGCACAGCACCCCCAGGCTCGGCACCTCCAGGCTCAGCTCCCCCAGACGCAGCACCCCCAGGCTCAGCACCCCTAGGCACAGCACCCCCAGGCTCAGCACCCCCAGGCTCAGCACCCCCAGGCTCAGCACCCCCAGGCTCAGCACCCCCAGGCTCAGCACCCCCAGGCTCAGCACCCCCAGACTCCGCACCCCCAGGCTCAGCTCCCGCAGCAGCACCAGAGTCACCAGTGACCTCGACAGGCTCGACCGCGTCTACCTGGGACACACCTGAAGGGGCAGGACCCTGAGGGGGGAGGGGGACTACCGGGGGGGGACCTGGTACCAGGAAGAGCGGGGGTGGGGGGAGGGACGGAGTGCGGTAGGGGAAGAGGCGGTAGTAGGGTACCGACTCGTCGAACGTGACGTCCTGGGAGGACAGAACACGTCGAGAGGTGGGGTGGTAAAACTGCCACCCAGGGGCGTCGGGGGGGAACCCCAGGAAGACGCAGGGAGAAGCACGAGGGGACAGCTTGTCCGCAGACAGGTCGCGAACAAACGCCCGAGATCCCCAGACCCGGAACGCCGACGCATCGCCAACCTTCCCCGTCCACAGCAGGGCTGGGGAGGTCTCCGGTCGAGAGACCCTGGGGTGGAGGTTGATCTGGTGCGCAGCGTACCTGACCGCAAACGGCCACAGAAAATGGGGAGCAGCCGCATGCATCATGGACGTACGAGCGACGTCCATGACCATGCCAATGCGGCGCTCAGCAATCCCATTCTGCTGTGGTGAGTCCGGAAGCGTGAAGGTCTGACGGATGCCTCGTGCACGACAGTAGGCACTCAGGAGGCCAGAGGAGAACTCTCCGCCTCTGTCCGAGTGCAGACGCAAAACAGGGAAGTCAGAGCCAAAGCTCCTCCGAAGCTGGAGACGAGCTGCGCGGATCCAGTCGATCAACACCGCAGTGACCTCACCCTTGCTGCGCAAGGGGAAGACTGTGGTGTAACGCGAGTAGTCGTCAACCACCAGCAGGAAGTAGCGCTCCTGACCCTGTCCACGGACGCGGGCTGGGCCCCACACGTCCATGTGAAGCGTCTGCAACGGGGCCTCTGTCGGAGGAAACTGGGAGGAGTGAGGGGCAGCACGCTGGCGCCCCTCGACACAGGGGACACAGGTAGGGCCAGGGCCCGGAGGAAGGGGAGGGAGAGACCGGGGAAGACCAGACACAAGGACTCGCGAGGCCATGCCTCTGAGCCGAAGCAGAGAGGGGTGGCCAAGGCGGTGGTGCCAGAGGAGGGTCTCGTGAGACAGACGACGACACGAGCAGGGGGCAGACTCAGGACCAGACCTGGACGCTGCAGCAAACACCTGACCAGACGAAGGGACCCTACCAGACTCAGCACCTGGAGGAGAAGCAGTGGTCAGTGTGTACAGGCTCGACCCTGGCCGACGTGTAAACGTAGCCAGGTGGCGACCTGTATCCGCCTCCGTGCAGTGGGTCACCCGCTGACGAGCAGGGGTGAACTGGTGGACACCCGCATCCTGGAGGTCAGCACCACTCACCAAGTTCGTCGAGAACGAGGGGAGGTAGAGACCAGTCAGGGTGCCAGAGGGGGCCGCCGGACACGGGAGGACAGTGGAGAAGCGAGACAGGACAGGCCCCCCAGAGGGGTCAGCCAGGGACACCGCAACCGGCCGACTCAGCGGCGTGAGAGTGGTGCGGTCCCTAAAGAAGGAGCGAGACGCTCCAGAGTCAAGGGTGAAGGTGTGAGAGGCCGAAGCCGACACAGTACCTGAGAGGGCAGACTCACCAGCACCTGAGAGCACAGACGCACTGGCACCTAGAGCAGCAGCCTCACTAGTACCTGACGCGGCAGTACCAATGCCCGGGTCGGGCGGGAAACACCGGTAACAGTCATCCTCATCACTACCAGTCACAGCATACATAGCAGAGAGAATAGCATCAAAATCAAGATCATAAATAGCTACACCAGCCCTAGACAGCTCTCCCCAGCGGGGGATCTCAGCGGCCTCCGGAAACTGCTGACGCCAGGCGTCGGTCAGGCGGCCAAAGCAGCGGCGGGCTGTGTGGGCGCCTCCACACCTCTCCCCTGCACGGTCACCTGTGCGAAGAACGTAGGGGCAGGGACCAAGCGCACCACCACGCTGACGCTGCAAGTACCACTCACGGAGCTGCTGAGGGCCGGGGACGGTGCGAGAGCGCTGCTGCTGCTGTGGCTGCTGCTGCGGCTGCTGCTGTTGCTGCTGCTGCTGCTGGCGCTGACCACCCCCAGAGCTGCTCCGCTGGGACGAGCCACTCCGACCCCCGCCTCCACCGCCACCCCCGCCTCCACCGCCACCCCCGTCTCCACCGCCACCTCCCCCACCAGGACCGTCGCTCCCACCGCTCCCACCGCCTCCTCCGCTACCACCTCCGCCGCCACCTCCGCCTCCACCGCCGCCACCAGTACCTCCACTCCCGCCACCACCCCCACCGCCACCCCCACTCCCCCCGCCACCCCCACCGCCTCCTCCACCGCCCCCTCGAGCTCCACCCGCTCCCTTGCCCCCCTTGCTCTTGCCAGAGCGGCGTCTGCCGCTGGGGGCAGACGCCGCGCCGACCGACTCAAAACCAGTGAGGTCGGCCGCAGCGGCAGAGGCGACAGAGGGCAGCAGGGGGGAAGGACCACACCCCTCAAAGATGGGGGTGCGAGGGTCACCCCGAGAGGCCCCTACAGCGACAATACTCTTCTCAGCCGCTAGCAGGGACTCCTCAAGGAGGTCGACAGTGAGAGTGGTGGGACAGACAGAGAGAAACTGGTCCCTAACGACACGAAGGGACTCAGGGAGACGGGTGACGAGAAAGTAGAGGGTGATGTACATGGGAGGAGGGTTCGCAGCGCGGAACTCAGCAGGAAGGGCAGCGCGGTAGCGGGTGTCACTAGCACGGAGGTGGGTAACGAGGTCAGCGACAGTGGGAAAGGAAGCGAGGTCAGGGAAGAGAAACGGTAGCATGAGGCGGCTAAGGGTAGCGGAGGAAGGGGAGGAGTAGCGTGCAACTACAGCGTCGTACAAGGCCTGAGCGGTCTTGCACTGACTAAAGTGGGCACGCTCAGAGGAAGGGAGGTGGCGACGCACAGCAAGACGTGCAGCAGCATCGCGGGTCGCCCACTTGGAGCGAACGGCAGAGTCAGCATCAGCAGGTGGGGCAGGAACAGCGCCAGAGACAAAGTCAAAAAGAGAGACCTCATCTATCGCATCACACAGTAAGTACAGCTGCAGGTCTTCAATCCAGACGGCAAAGTCAATGGCCCTCCCCTCAGCGTCAAAAGTAAGAACATTGGGGGTGGCCATGGCAGCAGCTGGAAGTCTCACCGGGCTGGGAGAGTCGGGTAGGTCAGCAGCAGAAGAACACAGCTCAGGAACAGCAGCACGGCAGCTCGGGCGGCTCGGGCGGCTCGGGCGGCTCGGGCGGTCCGGGCGGCTCGGGCGGCGGCTCGGTCGCAGCTCAGCGGCGGCTCGGGCGGCGGCGGCTCGGCGGCGGCTCGGCTGCTGCTGGGCGGCTCGGCGGCGGCTCGGCTGCTGCTGGGCGGCTCGGCTGATGCTGGGCGGCTCGGCGGGGCCGCGGAGCAGAGGGCGGCGGTGCCGCGTAGGAGAGGGCGGCGGGGCCGCGTAGCAGAGGGCGGCGGGGCCGCGTAGCAGAGGGCGGCGGAGCCGCGTAGCAGAGGGCGGCGGGGCCGCGATCGAGGGGCGGCGGGGCCGCGTAGCAGAGGGCGGCAGGGCCGCGTAGCAGAAGGCGGCGGGGCCGCGTAGCTGAGGGCGGCGGGGCCGCGACGTAGGGCGGCGGGGCCGTCGAAGTAGGGCGGCGGGCAGGCCGCGACTTAGGGCGGCGAGGCCGCGCGATAGGGCGGCGGGGCCGCAAGGTAGGGCGGCTCGACAGGCCGCTAGGGAGGGCGACACGACGGGTCGCTAAAAAAAAGGACGCGCGCCTCGGGGCGCGCTTCGGTGGGCCCAAGAAACAGTCCCTAGTAGGGGACCTGCTCTGATACCATGTGAAAGAGAGAACGAGAATGGAATGACTATGAAAGAAGTGAGTACAAATAGGAAACCCTAATTGGGTTGTACCCCCTATGGGATACCCCACTATAGCCTACACAATAGTATAAGCTATATAGTTCTGACAACGCTGACTGTCCTGGCTATCTTTTTTATGCTCCTTCCTCTCAGCAGCTCATTCGCAGCCAGGATGTTATCTTTGATGAGACTCGACCTCCATTCCTCACCCCCCCTCCCACCCCTCCTCCTCCCTCTCTTCATTTGTCTAACTTTGATCGGCTGCCCTCTACTGCACCCTCTCCTTCTCCACTTCCTCCTCCCCCTACTCCGCCTCCCCTCCCTACCCCCTCCACTACCCCCTCTGTTGTCATCTCCGGCACCTCTCCTCCTCAGTCTTCCTCTTCTACTCCCATGCCCTCTTCTTCACAACATCCTTCTCCTCTCCCTCCCTCTGCTCTTACTCCCCCGCTCTCTCCCTCACCACCTCCTTCTACTACTCTTCCTTCTGCTCCTGCTTCTCCACCTTCTCCGCATCTCACCCGCTCCATGTCCCATGCAATGTCCAATAGTCATCACTCTGCTGTCTTTACTTGTCTCTCTCCCTCTCAAAACGTCGATCTTCTTGAGGATTGATTTGAAGTGCTATTCTCTGTTCATCCCATTTAACCCCTCTTCTGTCTCACCATTGGCGAATTCTCCAATTCTCCCACTCGTCTCTCCGTTGACACCGCTTCCACCCCTCATACCTATTCTGAGGCAGTGTCTGGCTTTCATGCAACTGAGTGGATGGCTGCCGTCATTGCCGAGTATGAGGCATTCACCAGAACTCAATCTTATGTTGACTCTGTCTCCCCCCCTGGCGCCACCATTGTCAAGGGCAAATGGGTCTTTCGTGTCAAACAGCTGCCTGGGGAGCTCCCTGTCTTCAAAGCCCGTTACTGCGCCAAAGGTTTCACCCGATGTGAAGGCATTGATTACTTTGCCACTTACTCCCCCACTTCCCGTCTCCCCACTCTTCGCCTCCTTTTTGATCTAGGCGCCCGCTGGCATTGGGAGATTCACTTTATGGATGTCTCCAATGCATTTCTCCAGGGCGAGCTTCATGGACGCATTTTCCTTGAGCGCCCCACTGGCTTTCCTTGCCCATTCCCTCCAGGCTCTGTCTTGGAGCTGAGGCACCCAGTGTATGGTCTTAAGCAGGCCCCGCGCAAGTGGCATGCTAAGCTCGCCTCTACTCTTCACTCTCTTGGCTTCTCTACCTCTTCTTCCAACCCCAGTCTCTTCATTCGTACCCCCCCCCACATACTTTACATTCTTGCCTATGTCAATGACTTGGTGCTCCTCGCTGAAAAATTTGCCGACCTTGACGCTATCAAGCAGGACCTCTAAGCGCACCTCCTATGCAAGGATCTTGGCAAGCTTCTTCATTACCTCGGCATGGAGATCCGTCGTAATCGTGCTGCACGCACCATCTCTCTCTCTCAATCCTTCTACATCCACTCCATTCTTGAGCACTTTGAAATGTCACATGCCAAGCCTGTTTCCACGCCTCTTCCCACTAACCATCAGCTTACTGCCCATTCCGTTCCCGCTCCCTCCTCAGTTTTGCGACCCTATTCTGAGCTCGTTGGGTCACTCTTGTATGCTATGATATGCACTCGTCCCGATCTTGCTTATCCCCTCGGTGTCCTCTCTCGTTTTGTTGGCCTTGGTCACCACACTGATGTGCACTAGGCGGCTGCCAGACGGCTTTCTCCGCTATCTCCGTGCTACCTCTGATCTTGCATTCACTCTTGGTGGCTCTTCTCCCCCCATTCTTTCTGGTTACAGTGATAACTCCTACCCTGATTCTTGCCCTAATCGCCGCTCCTCTCAGGATTATGGTTTTACTCTTGGCAGTGGCCTCATCAGCTGGCGCTCCACTCGTTCATCCTCTGTCTGTCTTTCCACTTGCGAGGCTGAGTTGTACGCAGGCACATTGGCGGCTAAGGAGGCTCGCTGGCTCTCGTTTCTCCTTGCTGAGCTTGATCACTCTCAGCCCTCTGTGACACTCTCCTGTGATAGTGCGCGCATGATTCACCTCACTGAAAATCCTATCCAACACGCTCGCAGCAAACACGTCGAGGTCCGCTACTTCTTCGTGTACGAGCTGGTACAGTCTGGCTTCCTCTGCCTTTGCAAGGTGGCCGCTACTGCCAACCTTGCTGACACTTTCACCAAGGCTCTCCTTTGTGCACCACACCGTTTCTACATGTGCGCACTTGGGCTCACTCGTCTCGCCACTTCTAGGACTTGGGACCAGGATGAGAGGCGGGGGGAGGGGATGGGGGTATGGCGGTGGGGGTATGGCGGTGGGGGTAGAGACGGTAGTACCAAACCGACCAGTCGAAGGTGACGTCCTAGGAGGGCAGGCCGCGATGCAACACTGGGTGGTAAAACTGCTAGCCAGGCGTGTCAGGGGTGGAACCAAGGAAGACACAGCAAATGGTGCGAGAAAAGAGCTTGTCCGCCATGGTATCGCGGACAAGGGCATGCGAACTTCAGACCCAAAACGCCGATGCATCGCCAACCTCCCTCGTCTAACACAGTGTAGGCGAGGTCTCTGGCACAGAGACACGGGGCCAGAGGTTGAGCTGATGCACGGTGTATACGACCGCAAACGGCTACAGAATTTGGGGAGCAACTGCATGGATCATGGAGGTGCGAGCAACCTCCATGATCAAGCCAATGCGGCGCTCAGCAACCCCATTCTGCTGCGGAGAGGCTGGAAGTGTAAACGGCTAGGTTATGCCTTCCTCACGACAAAAAGCCTCAAGGAGGCAGGCACGAAAACTTACCGCCTCTGTCAGAGTGCAGACACAGAACCGGAAGGTCCTGACAGAAACGTACGGGGAGCTGGCGACAAACAGTGCGGATCCAGGGGATCAAGACACTGGGGACATCTGCCTTGCTCCGCACGGGGAAGACCATAGTGTGGAGCGTGTAGTTGTCAACAACCAGCAGAAGGTAGCGCTCGCGTTCTGCTCCACTCACGCGGGCTGGGCCCCACACGTCCATGTGGAGAGTCTGTAGAGGAACAGGGGTTCGAGGAAACGAGGAGGAGTGAGGAGCGGTGCGCTGCCGCCCCTCGACGCATGGAAGGCACGGCAGTGCAGGCGAATGCGGAAGCGGGGGCAGGGACTTGGGGAGGCCAAAGATAAGGAGACGGGAGTGCATGTTACGCAGACGTGGCAGGGAGGGGTGACCAAGACGGTGGTGCCAGAGGAGAATCTAGTCCGTGAGAGCTTGACACGGGCAAGACGTATCTAACTGACCCAACGTAGCCACCTGACCAGACGCAGCTACCTGTGCGGACTCAGTGGTCAGTGTGTACAGGCCAGACCCGGGTCTCCGAATGAACGTGGTGAGGTGGGCGCCAAAGTAGTGACAAGCTCACCCCCAAGAGTAGTGACAATGGCAAACTGGTCTAGGAGGACGTGGTTACTCACCAAATTCGTAGTGAATTAGGGGAGGTGGAGACATGGAAGCGAGCTGGAAGGGGTTGCCGATACGGGAGAACGGTGGAGGCACGTGTTACTAGTGGGCCCCTAGAGGGGTCAGCAGAGTGACTTGCACAGGTCTAGTGAGCGGTGTGACTGTGGTGCAGAGCCTCCGCAGGGGCTGCACCTGTGCTAGCAGGCTCAACAGCACCTAGACTAGTAGCCTCTAAACCACCAAGGCCGCATCGCTGATAAACCCCCTCCCAAAGCTGCTGCGGCGAGAGAGTCTCCTGTCGACGAGACTGCTGCTTCTGTCCAGTACCTCCAGAACCAGTACCCCAACCAGAGCAGCCTCGCCGAATAAACCACTCACGAAGCTGCTGCAGCGAGAGAGTCTCCTGGCGACAAGACTGCCGCTGCTGTCCAGTACCTCCAGCACCTCCTGCACCAATACCCCAACCAGAGCGGCCTCACCCAAATAACCCACTCGCGAAGCTACTGCGGCGATAAGTTCTCTGGCTGACGTTGTTGCTGCTGTTGTCCACCCCCAGTCGATGCTACGACTGTGACAGTGGTTATGACAAGCAGTGGCAGACAGTAGCAGCAGCGCAAGGGCGACAGTAGCGACTGCTGCAGGTGTAGCAGTAGCGGTAGTCGCTGTAGTGCAGGTGCTGTGGCCGCAACAATAGTAGCAACTGTTGGAGTGGTTGTGGAGGCAGTGGCTGGGCACGTGCATTGGGCAGTCGGGTGCGTGGGCAGCAGAGCACGCGCGGGCAGCAGGGCGCGCACTAGCAGCATGGCGCGCAGGCAGTATGGTGCGTGGGCAGCAGGGCGCACGCTAGGAGCAGGGTGCGTTGATAGTAGGGGCAGTGCTGGCAGCAGGGCACGCTAGCAGCAGGCGCGCGCGGGCCGCAGTCAGGCAGAGCAAGGCAACGCTGGGCAGCGTGCGGGGCAGCGCTGGCTGCGGCCAGGAAGGGCAGGGCAGCGTTGATTGCGGAGATAACTACTACAACGGGAGCTAGACTACGGGCTATGCATTGATGCTCGTGTGATCTCTGCGTTCGCACTCCTCCGCAGAACCTCGTCACCCAGGTAACCTGGTCGACCGGGCAACCACGTCGACCAGCTGCTCACGTATGTGCCCGTCGACCTCCCAAGTCGATGGCCACCTCTAGTCGACCTCACCAGGTCGACCACACCCCTAGTTGACTAGCTCCAGGTCGACGTCACTCCTAGTTGGCAAGCTCCACGTCGACCAGCACAGTTGTCAACCGACCACCCAAGTCGGCTACCCGAAGTCGGCATCACCAAATTGACGCCCTACTCCTCGACTCCCAGCTTCTTGGTATCTTGAGTCTCCTTTGTCGTGGTCGATGTTGACCACCATGCTTGGTCGACCACCAGGTCAACATCATGCCTGGTCGACCAACCACCAAGTCGACGAGCAGGCCTCGTCGACCGACCACCAGGTCGACCAACAGTCCTGTCAGCCGACCACCCAAGCCGGCTGCCCCAAGTTGGCGTCACCAAGTCGACGCCCTCCGCAGGTCGACCTCCCTGAAGTCAGCGCCACTCTGAAGTCGGCGCCCGTGTAGTGGCCCCCGTGCAGGTCGACCTCCTCGTCAACCAGCTCGCCCACTGCTCCAGGTCGGCTGCTCCCCTCACACCCGACCACGAAGTCGGCTCTGCCCAAGCAAGGACGGGGCCAACACACAACTCCCGTTGACATTGACAGCGGCCAGGCAGGGCAGGGCAGCACTCGGTAGCGCGTGCAGGCAAGGCAGCAGTGGCAGCGGCCGACACCAGTAGCAGCAGTGGCCGGCAGCAGTGGTGACAGCAGCATGCAATAGCTGCAGCTTGGCAGGACAGCGCTGGGCAGCGTGTGGGGCAGCACTGGCGGTGGCCAGGCAGGGCAGGGCAGCACTGGGCGGCGTGTAGGGCAGTGCTGGCAGCATCCAGGCAGGGCAGGGTAGCACTCGGCAGCGCGTGCAGGCAGGGCAGCAGTGGCAGCGGCCGGCAGCAGTAGCGGCAATGGCCGGTAGCAGTGGCGACAGCAGCAGACAGCAGCTGCAGCTTGGCAGGGCAGTGCTGGGCAGCGTGTGGGGCAGTGCTGGCGGCGGCCAGGCATGGCAGGGCAACGCTAGGCAGCACTAG